TCTGGGAAAAGCCCCATTCTCCTCTTTCCCATTAATATCAACACTCACACCGCCCCAATTATCAAAGTTTTGAGGTGGTGGAATTATTGGTGATATTTCACTTGTTTTCTTTTTTAAGGATTGATATAGAAACGATTATTGCCACTGAAAATTTCATTGGTTTCCTTCACGTGGTATTATTAACGGGCAAATTCTACTTTACCTTTATAAATTTCATAGATTTTGGTACCGTTGATTTTTAAACCAATAACATTTTAGTTTATGTCATGTTGAATTCGACTTGATTTAAAATACCACCGAGACCAACACCATGTAAGATATTGTTGAGGTGAATAATGGTTTTGCTCATCTTCGCTGATCCATGGGTCACATAGTACATGTGCAACGTTACATTTGTCATCTTTGCCAAAAACGTAACTTGGTTCAACCCCGCTCCCGTTTTCTCTTTTTAAACACTATTAGAGTTTAGATGTAGAGATTAGTAGTGGTTAGAAAATAATTAAATTTGCTTTAAATTATAGACATGTTCTTATTGATATGATCACTACTTATTTTTTTATTGGTAAGAAAATTATTATTGTAAAATACCTCAATTTATAGAGATCTCAGAGTCACTCCCTTATTAATAACCTATATATGCATGTATATTTTGTTTTTTCACTATTTTTTTCATTAGTCACAATGCTTAAGCAACTTTCAATAATATTTTTCCTTACATTTAAATTTCAATATTCATGTTTAAAGGATATATATGGTTTTGAGTTCAATTATCACAAAACACTTCCAAGGAAAGAAGCATTTAATTGTGACTAAGTTCTAATAGATAATGAATTAGTCTCATAGTCAACCAAAAGACTGAAACATGTATGAATACCTCTTGGTCTTATTGAGAAGTTAAAGATCATAATTATAAAACAAAAAATGACATTTATTGTGAGCAACATAATTTTTTTTTTTTATAATTACAATGGTGACACTAGAATTTGAATCTAAAAACTTAAATATATTATTTTAACTCTCACTATTAAGTCAATCTTAATGATTCTATTATAAGTAACATATGTTTGTACATGTGATATTTGTTTAATTTAATAGATTAAATAATATTTTCATCCTCCAAACATGATAATATTTATTTTTAGTCTTTAAAAAATAAATCATATCATTTTAATACTTTATTTGTGAAAATGTATTTTACATGCATAATATTTAATTATACATGACCAACAATTAATGGTTGATTCACTTGATTAGAAAATACACATCTCAAAAAGACTTGTGTTTAATTTCTACCAATGTAAAGATCTTATTGATAAATAATTTATAAGTATCTTTATAAATGTTATTAGAGCTTTGAGGCCTTATCCAATTCTAGTGAGCTCCTAAGACTCAACACATTTTAAAAAAGAAAAGTTTAATCACATTGATGCGCATCAAATTGTAGCAACTTATATTAGCTTTGCGTCATTTTTGCGAATTGGATGTAGAAATTTGTTAACGTGCATTATGAAAGCATAACCCGACACACGTGGTGCTTGTAAAAAAAAAAAAAACTCCTTTTAGTTATTTGTTTTTGAAAATGTGACCACATATAGCACATTTATATAAATAAAATACTATAGAAATACAATTTAATTTGTATGGACTAAAAAAATATTAATTTTTTTTTCTGGAAGTAAAAGATATTTAATTTTGATTTAATTCATTGCATACAATAAAGGACTTAAACAATAAATAAATAATGAATTGTAAAGTTAAGGGCTAAAAATATGAAGAAAAGTACTCGTGATGGAACTCAAGATACACTTAAAGGGTTACATTAACCTCTCCTAAAGGTAACATTCTTTATCCATCATCTCTTGATTGGAAATTTTCTATAATAAGCATATATTTTTTCAAATAAAAAAGTTACGTATACGATGCGAAAAAAGAAGAAGAAGAAGAAGAAGGAAATGCGTATGTAACTTAAAAAGTCTGAGATAGAGAGGGAATATAAAGTAATGAAGGCAATAAAAATCCGAGAAACCCTCAATTTCATCTTCCAAAATTAATGCATCATCCAAAAAGTTTAGTTTTTAAAAATTGCAACCATTTAATCATTTTATAGTTAATTTAATTTTTTAAGGGACAAATTTGATGATGAAAAATATTAAAAAAGTAAGTTGAGGAATGAGGAATGAAGGGACAAATTTGATGATGAAAAATATTAAAAAAGTAAGTTGAGGAATGAGGAATGAGGAAGAATGTACATAGACACATCAATGGAAATAGTATTATTATTATTTAAGATAAAAGAAGTGGGATGTGGTAATTAGAAGTGGAATTGAGGTGCGTGTTATTAGAAAAAAACGTGATGATTACACTACACGTAATGTTGTTTGTTATTGGAAGAATGTTGTGCCAATGTTGATTAGGCAGAACAGAACAGAAGACAAGGGCCGTAGGTTGGGACCGCACACAACACACAGTAGTCCGCGCGTGCTGCTAAGGCCACTACTCACGTGCGACAGCCAATGGTCTTCTCCATCTCTATATATACAATTTACAAATACTAATAGCGAGCGAGTGACTGAGTGAGTGTAGTTGAATGTTGATCATGAGTCATAACACATGGATGAATGCATGATTTCTTCAACAAGCACCTCAATCGGTTAAAGCATTGGAGAGTATATATTTATATTCATAAACTAGGTAGCGTAGTACTATACAAACTTGTTACATCAACCAAATGGAGACACACGGTGAGATAAGGGTGTCAAAGTTCAAGAGGGTTTGTGTCTTCTGTGGGAGTAGCCCTGGCAAAAAGAGAACCTATCAAGATGCTGCCATTGAGCTTGGCAATGAATTGGTATATTATATACACTTCCATTCTGCTTTTCTTTTCCATATCTTGCTCCTTTTTTTTTTTTTTTTTTTGGGTATGTAACCCTTCTGTTTTATTGGGGGTTTAATAAAAATAAATAAAAAAGTTGTGTTCTATGCTATTCTTATTACAATATACATGAGTTCAACTAACGGATTAGGTGGAAATGGTTAAACTATATCGTATGACGTCTTCAAGGGTATAGTTCCATTGTGAATTTCAGTGGGGTAAGTTCGTTGTGTTCATAACATGTTTGTAATTTGTAACTTGTTCACGGCCTTTGAAAAATAGAAATTCACGTTGATTTTTGTTCCTTGAAACTATGGTTGTGTTTTTTTTTCCTCTATTGGTTGAGATTGTGTCTAGCATCTATTTAATGCAATTTTTTTTCTTTCTTTTATATCATTACTCACAAACTAAAAGTTCAAAATAGGTCACACTCAATACCGTGCTCAATTTTTTTGCTCAAGTGTTTGGATATCTATGGCGCCTTTCAGCTTTCTGAGGATAAAAAGCATCCATTTTTTTTTCTTGAATTTTGTTAAGCTCGGTGGCTCTGAGCTGAACATTTGGCACGGACTTTACAAGTGCTTCCTGCTG